ATGTTTGAATGCTTAGGTGTATCCATTTCTTCCTCGGTCACCCAGTGGCAGTGGTGTGCTGGAAATGTTTAACAACCAGCTCTCCGGAGGGGGTAGGGGGGGACTTGATATGCAGTATTTGCCCATCTCTGTGGGGTAAATACTCCCACCATGGCTGGTTTCAAGCTACCAATGTGATGTCACTGAACGATGGAGTTGGGAAGAGATGCACGTAGCACACCACCATTGGAATACATTATAGAATTTCCACCATTGGCATACATTAGATGTTAATACCTTCAAGTACATAGATAGCAAAATAATTAGAAAGTGATGAATTTGGGGTGTTTATTAACCTATGTCTTTAATATAGTATATTTAATTGTAGGTTTTATAATTTAGTGTTTAATGGTGGCTGTTTATCCAGCTGACAAGATTCCTGGAAATCTAACAGTCTGCTCCCTCAGGCTGGTACAAGCGGGCTCCGGCACACCAGTGGTATTCTGGGGACCTCCAGCTGGGACTAAACAAACCAGCCGCCTGCCTAGTCCTGCCTTCACCAAGACCTGTATTAGTTCTGCAGAGGGAGCCCAGCTCTCCCCTGATAGGAGATCAGAGTTCCTTCTAAATAGGAGATTCTGGGAGTCCCACTCAGCAGAATTTTAGCTGCTTTATGGGCTAGTTCCTTCTGATCTCAGGGCTGACATCCCTGCCAAGTCCAGATGGTGCTGTTGGACTATCAGGGTTTCCTGCACAGACCGCCGGCCTTCTGCACCCCCCTCACCCTCTGGCTGACAGATTTAATTCAAGTCCCTGGCACGGCCTCCTTCCATTTGATGCAAAGCCAGCAAACCTCATACAGGAAGAGCCAAGGAAACCAGGTGCTAAATCACCCAAGGTCAGGCTGCTCGTCGGCTTTCCAGCCTCCCAGTTGTCAGAGGCAGCTATTCCTCCAGGATTTTTCTAAGCCAAATACACCCCCTATATCTTACACTATAGCATCGTAGAAGCTTAAGGATGGATGGGACCTTCCAATCAATAAACCTAACCACAGCATGCTTGAGCAGCCGCCAGCCCTCTCCACCCTCCCCAGCATCTCCTTTTCCCAGCTGCAAAGCTGCTGTCTGCCGGCTTTTATCCCTTGGCACTGAGCCACGTTCCATGGGCAGGAGCTGTTTGATAGCTGACAGTGGAGGAAGCCAGAGGGAAGGAACCTGCTGGAAGCCGGGCATGTGGTTAAGTGGTTCACATTCACGATTGTGTTTATCACATTTATAGGTGATGAAACGAAAGTTTAGCAAGATTTAGTGACTTTCCCTAGGTCACAGAAGCTGTAAGTTAGAGTCAGGATTTGAACTGGGGTTGTCTAGCTCAAATCGGCACCATTTACATTAGTCCACGTTGCTTTCCGTAAAGCGTGACGACCCTGGCCGCTAGTGGTATCGTTGTGATGACTAGTGCAGTGGGAATGAAAAATGTATCATCTGAAGAGGTGGCACTCAAGTTCCCTTTGAGGAGGGAGCCATCTTTGTTTAGGAAAATGCCTTTAATAAGCCACCCATGGTAGAAGGTGAAATCTTGAAGGTAAGAGCGTTGGCAGGAATGCCTATACTGTGGTACCTGAGAATATAAATGGATTTGGTTTATCCCAAGGGAGACAGGTAGCACATGGAGTGGGAGGGGAGTGCATTCCTCTGTAGGGTGTCAGAAGAGCATTTTACGAATGGGGTGCCATGTCTGCATTGCTGTAACATCTTCCATTTCCTCCCACATCACTGAGACACAGGCACGTTTGCACGCATACACACTAACTCATTTGCATTTTGGTGTGTGTGGAAATGGGGGAGGGAACTGAGCTTCATGTCTCAGCGGATGCAGTACAGGAACGAGACACCACTGTTGCTTAGAATGAGGTAGCAGAAGTCTGGAGTCAGCAGTGACTGCCAAAATACAAGTCCCTCAGAAACCACAGAGATCCAGAGGCCCAGTCATCAGACTTGTCTGGATCTTGGGGGCGTGGAGGGTGGAGCAGGAGTTCCCCAACCGACATATGGGCTACAACAGGGAGGACTCTGCACCTAGTGGCTGGCAGCAAGGGGGATGCACTGTGGAACGGGAAGTGGGAGGAAGCCTTTAACTTCGTGGCTGATTGCAACTAGAAAATGTGTACCAGTCAGGAGTTCCCCTCACATGTGCCTGATGGGAGAAGTTTGGAACCTTTAAGCCCTGGACTTCTGCAGAGGCCCACAGAGGTCTCCACAGACTGCAAACATTTCACAGTGAGGGACCGAGAGCCAAACTGGTGCCAAGGAAGCCTTCAGTGACTGTGCAGGGGCCTTCTCTGTCACAGCCCATCACTGATGGTGTGAGGTGGGGCTACGTGGTCTTGGCTGGTCTAAGGAAGGCGCAGGCCATGAGCCAGCTTGCACCATGGAAATCTCATATATGCCTCTTGGGCTCTCACCTAAAAGTCATCCCAGTGCAGAGTCCTTCACAGCTGGCACATCCACACCATTCTGATCCAGAGCAGAGGCTCAGCAGGAGGGGAATGGGCAGAGGGTGGGGCCAGGATGGCAGCAAGTGCTAGACGCCTTGAAGAACAGAGCCACCTCTGGAAGTATGCAAACTGGATGAGGAGTCCGCCTGCCTGGGACCCAGCCCCGCTGCTGACTGGCTAAGTGACTGTGGCTTCTGGGGTTCAGATCCCCCCTCTAAAATGGGGACTGCACTGGTCTCCAAAATGCAATTAATCCTGTGGCCTCAAATCTGGCTCACGGGGTGACTTTCTTAGTGTCGCCTCAGGAACAGGAAATGGCAGAGAAAGGCTACCAAACAGGGTTTGGATGCAGCCCCAGGCCCAGGATATGCCTCAGGTCAGCACAGGAACCACATTGGAGAAGGAAATGGAAAGGCTTGAAGGGACGTTTTCGTACTCTGTGGTGTGAGTTCTAGAAGGGAGAGCTGCAGGGCTCAGCCATAGACCTGGAATGGAAGTGTGATATTGTTTTAAGGAAGGATTAAAACAACATATTCCTGAGATGGATGGTCTTCCGGGTAAAAACTTCATCTTGAGTCTCAGAGGCAGTCAAACACAGCACCAGGTTTTCTATGAGGCCGCAGCAGCAGGTCTAAGGGAATGAGCTTCAAGGACAGTGACCAAGATGGCTGCTGTCAGGGCTCTTCCCAAAACATCTGCACAGACTGACAGGAACAGAAGCCTCACCTCCAAATGCAAAAGAAAGGGTTAAGCTGAAGTGCCCTGTTTTACTGACTTTGGCTTCCTTCTCTGCGATGTCTCCTTACACCCACCTCAGGGAGCTGTGGCTCTGGGCTTCTCCCACAGGTTATGCTGGTCCATTCACTTCCGCGAGGGTCAGCTATCACTTGATTTCGAAGCTCCAGTTGGCTGCTCCAGTCTCCCCTGATTTACCTTCAGTGTTCTCAAGACCAGCATTTATCAGGACTTAATGAAGGGATGAGGCATGTGTCTCCCATTTCAACAGAGGGGGATGGGAACCCATACATCCTATTATCTTTTTACAGAATAAATTCAATGAACCTCTACCCCTTCTCATACATATTCATAATTCTTTCATTAAAACAGAAGAGCCATTCCTTCTTCCCACTAGAATTCCAAATGATCCCAATTTCTTATTTCTCTCACTGAAATGTCACACAACTATCCCAGTCCTTTCCCCTTCCCGTCCCTCCTCACCCCATGCCCACTGCCATGGAATGCCCTCGTAGCTGGGAACAGTGAGCCTGCAGGGAGCCTGACCAGTAGCTTGTCATCCACTTCTTTTGCACCCTGGCAACCCCTCACCCGTCAGCAATCAGACAGATAGCTTAGACGTTTTTCCCAAGTGCAGAATCATATATATTCTGAGTGACTGAGTTATTGGCATTCAAGTTTTGACCAGTTTCAAGATGCTATTAGATAATGGGAAGACCATATACAGATACTGCAATTTATGTTACATAGGAAAGACTGTCAGTTGATATACACGAGTCAAGAGTTTCAGGTTATATACAATACTCCCAGAAGGCTACTTGAATACACTGCAAGCCTCACTCCTTTCAGGTTGTAAAGCCGAGAAGCTGCCTTTTTTTTTTTTAGGGCCTCTACCACTGTTCGGTGTGCTAATGCCCAGACTTCATGGTCTCTTTCTTTCTTAACTTCCTCAGCGGAGAGGTGAGGAAAAACTGTTATAAAACCAGATGTGACAGATGTTCTTCCACCACCCCCCACATAATGCATACCCATTAATGAACTCAGTTCCACCTCAAAGCACCCCCAAGAGCTAAACAGAACAGGCATCCTCCCTACCTGAAGAATGGAAAAATGGAGGCACAGAGACCACCTGACTGTACAAGTTCAATCAGCTGTTTAAGGGGAGAGCCAGAATCAGGATCTGGCTCTGTGCCTCACGTTCCTTCCAGCAGGCCTGTGGGCAGCTGACAAGTGTGGTCCAGCCTAGCCACCTGACTGAGGCTGAGTCCACAGCCAGTCTGGGAAGCCCTGGTGGGGGGCTGATCCAGCTGTGATCCAGCTTTCTCTGCTTCCAGACAGGGCTCAGTTCCAGGTAATGATGCCAATGACTACAGATGTCACGAGCCGCTGGAAAATGGGCCCCCTTTGACAAATCTGGAAGCGCTCTCTTGCTGCTCTGCTCAGGATGGGGCCCATTAGCATGCTTTAGGTAAAGTGGGAAGACTGGGCTTATACTGAACAGTGAGAATGAGTGAAATGTAACTCACTTGGTTCCAATGTTTACAAAGAAAGCATCTGGCCAACTGCAGAGAGAACAGACCTAGAACTATCCTTCTAAACCTACCCTGAGTGGTAAACATAAGGTACATGTTGTTACCTATATAAAGGTGAAGTATTCCATTTTCAACTGTAAAGGACACATTACTAAGGTTACAGTTTAGGGGCATGCACCCCACGTGGGACTGCATTTAAACTACAACTGTGTAGTGTACATCTCCATTACATGGCGCTAAAGTTGTACAACTGATACTTGGTGAAATCTGATTTTAGTCACAGTATTTTAAAAGCCAATTTCTATTTAAATGTTGTGAAAAAATGGAATTGTTTGACCTTATACACATTTTACATTTACAGCAGAGTAAGTACAGGAGTTTACACATTCAAGTGGGTGTTGTTGCCTTTAAAGTACATACTAGTAGTCACCTTGGGAAGATGTATGTTTAGTCTAGTGAAGCTGACCTTACTCAGAATATTTCCAGAATTGTCTTTGGAAACTGTCTCCTTATAAACTTTCTTCAATGCTGTTAAGTCTTTGTCCTTAAAGGGTAGATTTATTTTTCAAGAAATGATTATTTTTTAACAGCCAAAGAACATTAGAAGAAAAGTCCAATAAAATGGGTGATGGAGCGTGGGACTACCTCTGGGGAGGGGTGGTGTAAAAAACAAGACCTGCCTTAGCTGGTTTTTCTCAGTGGTTACAGGTCGGCCTAGGGACTGAAGGGTCTTGGGTTTGATTCTGGTCAAAGCATGTTCCTCAGTGGAAGGCTCGAACCCCAACCCTAGTCAAGGCGCGTGTGGGAGGCAACCAATTGATGTGTCTCTCTACATCGATGTTTCTCTCTGTCTCTTCCCCTCCCTTCCACTCTCCCTAAAAAAACAATGGGAAAAAAACCCCAAAACCTCAAATGAGGATTAACAAAAACAAATACACAAAACAAGACCTGACTATAGGTTGCGAGACCTCCTTCCTTGCATGGTTTCAAAGATCACTCCAAACAGGAATTCTATGTGTTCTTGGCACATGCAACATCACAGCTTAAGAGTATGGTCTCCCAGGAAATAACCCTGATTATGGTAACCATTGAGTCCTGTTTTGGTGCATTTGGTTAAAATGTAGCCTTGTCCATTTTCAGTCATACTCCACAGAGCAGAAGTGGAACACTCCCTTTCCATGACCTCTCAAGGGAAGGCTCATCAGCTGCTGCTTGAAGAGTGGAAATGAAAAGCACTCGGTGTCATGTCTACATTATCCAACTCCCCCCAAAATAGGCAATGAGTAAGTCCTGATACCCGCATCTCCCCAGTTCGGAAAGGTGGGTCAGGTCAGGTCTCTGGAACCTGGATAATACTAGAATGTCAAGGGGATTGGAGTGTGTTTCCAATAGCTCTATCTACCTAACAGGTCCACATACCAACTCATACAAGAAAACCCCCTACAGCTAAGCAGTACATGAAGTTTCAGTAGAGGAGGGGGGAAGTGATTATCGGCCAGTAGCTTTCCAGGATATAAACCAATGGCTTTGGAATGACAAGTGAAAATCGTCCATTGAAGAGAGAGTCCCTGGTGTTTGGTTCTAGTGCACGCTTAAGAAATAAAGTGTGTGGCCACTAGCTCATTCAACTGCATTTCCAGCGGAGGCCGAAGGCAGCGAAGGTGCAAGAGGCTGCTGGGTGGCGTTCGTTGAAGCAGGTCTGTAAATTCGAAGTGGCAAAGCATTTGTAGAATGGCCCAGCGACAGAGCAGGGCATTTGCCAACCAGTGAATTTACTTTCTACAAAGTGCTTCATTGAAAATGCTAATGAGGAAGCTCCCTGGAACACCATATCCTGAGTGTCAGAGAAATATGGTCAAGGTGGTGATGGAGGGGGAGCAGAGATCAATCGTCTACTAGTATTTGAACTGTGTATTCGCCAAGCATCTCACACACACACACACACACACACACACACTGAAAAGCACATAACTGAAGCCACATTCCACCTCTTTTGCACACGCCTCCATCCGGTGGTTGCTTTTGAGTAAAGTATTGCCAGGAGCTTTTCCGAGTTAATGGGCTCTATTGCTAAAAGCTAGAAGCAGCAGCACAGTCAGTGCCTTAAAATCAGTCGGGATATCCAAGTGCTTGCAGCAGACCTCGGCCTCAAATGGATCAGTCGGGATGTTGTTCCTGGTGAGCGTTTTTAGATTATCTTTGTAAAAACCACAAAGCTAGGCCATTTGCTTAAATCATCGTTAGAAAGAATGTCGAGTGCCCAGATGGGATTTCTAGTTTCTGTGCAAATGAAATCACATTAGTCCAGATTTTATTCATTCAAAACTACTAGGGAAGCAGTAGGATTTGGTTTAAATGCTGCCAACAAAAAGCAGGAATTCACTTCAGTTTTAATTCAGAAGCAATCCTATTGTTAATGTTGTAGCTGGGTTCGGGCAGCGTGGGGGGTGGGGGCCCCGGCGTGCTTGCTGAGGGACCGCGGACCTCTCCCAGTTCAGGCTCACTCTCACTGGAGGTAGACCCGTTGTTGATGGTGTAGATGCTCTCTGCAACGCCCCGAGCTGCAGCACAGCCATCTGGCTCGCTCTTCTCCCTGGGACTGGACAGGCCTGGGAGGATGGCCATCTTCCCAGTCTGCATATTTGGCAGCAAGGACACAGCATAGTCTGCAATGATCGCACCCACGTCTAAGTTGCATGCCTGGTCGAAGGCGAGGAAACCAACGTTGGCGTTTGCCTCACACACCACAAAGGAGCCATCGTCCATGATGAGGAGATCAATGCCACAGAAGTCCATGCCCAGGATATTGGAGACCTGAATAGCCAACTGCTTGCCTTGCTCTGTCAGCGGGCACATGACACCCACACCACCTGTGGGGAAAGCATAGTGATGTAACGATGACATCAGACACTGACCAGCAAGTCAAATGACCCTTCGAGGAGGAGGAGAAGGGGGAGTGCTGAGGAAGGGCAGCGAGCAGGGCATTTTCATTATTCACAAAAGGTCTGGAAGGACATCAGGAAAACAATGTGGTCATTTCTTATCTAGAGTCTTAAAATGCTTATACCCTGTGACCCAGTCATTCCACTACTTAGGAAATAATCTTATGTAACAGAGAAAAGGCTTGATGCAGACAGATGTTGATGTCAGAGTTATTTAAACACACTGAAAAACCATTGTGCCTGGAACATAGTAGGTACTCAATAATAAATGTTTGTTGATGAATAAATGAAAAATTATAATCTAAGTAGCTCACAATAGAGGAAAACAACGTATGTTACAACCATTAATAATGCTCACAGAGAGTTTGTGATCCCATAGAAAAATATGTAGGATTAAAGACTGTGCAGTATAACCATGCAAAAACGATATTATTAGAAAAAAAGATCAAAAGAAATAATACCAAAATGTTAACACTGGTTGTCTCTAGACGGTAAGATTAATGATAAAATCTTTTCATTTGACTTTGCTATATTTTCCAGGCTTTCTACATTGAGAATGTACTCCTTGTATAATTAGAATAAAACAGAATTAATTTATTATTTTTTAAGTAGAGAGAGATGGAGAGGCTTGTGAGACAAATCCTATATCAAGGACAGAAAGAGTCTGATTGCTCTTATTTGTTAAAAAGCTAAAACTTCAGATTTAATTGTCTCCCTTAGTATCCCTAGAAAGACTTATGACTTGTATTCTCAGGGCCAATAACTAATGTCTTTACCTTAACACTGTCCTTTCCCCACCTATTATACTGTATAAAGAAAAGGCTGTAAAAACAGCTTAGCAGGAAAAGTAATGTGGATAAATTAAAAAACCATGCGGTTCCTTGTTAGAAACTAAAAAAGACAAAACAGCCCTGACCGGTTTGGCTCAGTGGATAGAGCGTCAGCCTGTGGACTCAAGGGTCCCAGGTTCGATTCCGGTCAAGGGCATATACCTTGGTTGCGGGCACGTCCCCAGTGGGGAGTGTGCAGGAGGCAGCTGATGGATGTTTCTCTTTCATCGATGTTTCTAACTCTCTATCCCTCTCCCTTCCTCTCTGTAAAAAATCAATAAAATATATTAAAAAAAATAAAAAAGACAAAACAGCCCTGGCCAGTGTGGCTCAGTTGGTTGAGCATCATACCATGCACCAAAAGGTCGCTGGTGTGATTCCCGGTCATGGCACATGCCCATGTTGCGGGCTCAATCCTCAGCAGTGGGTGTGCAAAAGGCAGCTGATCAATGTTTCTCTCCCTCTCCCTACCTTTCTCTCTAAAATCAATAAAAACATATTTTTTAAAAAAAGACAAAACAATAACACATAAGGTTCAATACTGTTGCACTGCACATGATTATCATGAAAATTAAATGAGATAATATGTTAGGTACTTAGTACTTTGTCAACCTGAACCTAGAATTTGTTTCTATTACCCCGCTTTATCACAATTATCTTACAATGATCTCTTTATGTGTCTTCTCCTTTACTGGACCATAAGCAAGGATTCTCTCATTAATCACTACACTCTCAATATCTACCAAAGTCCGCTCATGGAAACTGCTCAGCCAGGATTAATGAAGGACAGACAAAATCAATGTCTCGGTCTCCTTCTTAGTCATTAGACTTGGGACACTCATCTGGCGATTCAGGAAACAGTAACTGTAGGTACATTTTCCTTTTTTGGTACTTTTTCATGTTGCCAACATGAAAATTCGTTTAATGAGGTGGACAATAGCTTTCTGTGTTGGGGACAAGAATTGACAGCCTTCTGGGCCATCTTCATTCACCACTACAGAAAACAAGCTTTATTAAACAGGTTCACGGGGTGGGGTCATGCATTTGGCCCAAACATAAACTCTAGCTTTTTAATAACATCATACATATAAGAAAAACACAACTTTCAATTGTAATAGAAAAGCAGAATTTGCTCTGCGTCACGTCATTGCCTTAGTTTAGACCCTCACTACTTCTTGCCTGAGCTGTTGCAGCAGCTTCCACACTCGTCCTTGCCTCCTGTCTTATGCCTTCAATTCATCCTCTACCCAGATGTCAGTTTCTCAAACACGGATCCTCATGTCACTCCCTTGTGTAAATCTGACCGCTAAGTCCTAACACCTATAGGATAGGGTTCAAACCTCAGTGTCCCGACACCCCTGGCCTGACCTCTGTCACAGCACTTACACCATCTGTCCCCCTGCTGGACTGCTTGCTGCTAAAGGAAAGGGCTTGTTTCTAATTCTTAGCTGTTGATCCTGGCACCTAGCCAGGCTCTGACTAGATAGGAGGGACAGGTACACATTTACTAAATGGGTCTAAACATCCTAATGAAAACTCCTGGTGGCCTCCTGTAACCAACACAGACTCTGGGCCTTACACTTACCGAGAGAGCAGTTGCTCTGCATCCGTCCGTCTGTGGAGCAGCGAAGCATAGAGCCTATCACCTGGCCCCCGACCACCACCACCCGGATATCTTTTCCATGTGACTCCTTCACATACTTCTGGAACAGGTAGGGCACGTCATGGCGGATCAGATGGCAGATGTCTGAGAGGTGATGTTTGTCTCTTGCAAGGAAAACAGCCTTTCCTTTAAGAAGAAAGACAATAAGAGAAGACGTTAGAGCAGCCTCTGAACCCTGTCCTGGCCATCCCGTCTCCTGTCCGATACAGTCATCAATGCTTCCTGAACTTGCCTCACTTTGGTCTCCTCTACTTCTCTGACTAGACTTTTGCTTCTTATCAAATGGCTATTGAACTTTGTTTTCTCTTGATTTTGCTCAGGTCTTAATAATGTCGACTGTCTCCCTATACCACCACTCTTATCAAAATGAAATAATAACGCATTCCAGAAATACAGAGAAGGGGTCAAAATAAAATCCTATGGATCAAGTCAACTCGGTTCCAAAACAGTTATTAGCATCTCTTATCACCCTGAGGATGTGGATCAGGCAGGGTCCATGTCTAACTCATTTTTTAAAATCCCCCAAACTTCATGTTGAACTTGATGCACAAAGCAGAACATAATTGATTGAACATACTTTATTTTTTTTAAAATATATTTTATTGATTTTTTACAGAGAGGAAGGGAGAGAGATAGAGAGTCAGAAACATCGATGAGAGAGAAACATCGATCAGCTGCCTCCTGCACATCTCCCACTGAGGATGTGCCCGCAACCCAGGTACATGCCCTTGACCGGAATCGAACCTGGGACCTTTCAGTCCGCAGGCCGACGCTCTATCCACTGAGCCAAACCGGTTTCGGCGATTGAACATACTTTAGAAGAATTCTAAAATAGATGGAGAGAGAGTCAACAAGATAAGTATAACACCGCATGATTTCACACTGAGGTCTATGAAAACTACAATAAAGTTCAAAAAGTGAGTCACTGACAGACATCCTTCCTCTTTTTAAATATAAGAAACTTATTATTTGGCAACACCTATTAATTCTAAAAGGAATGATCTATACTTTTATTTCTCTTGGGAAAGCATTCTTTTTGACTCCAAATTCTTTATTTTCTGCCTGAATGACCAATGCTTTTGCAATTATCTGGCATCTGCTTTCCATTTGCATATCAGCTAATATATCTCACAGGGGTTCCTGATAGGTTTGCTCTGAGATCTGACATGAGCACACCCAATCTGAGCATTCTTGTTAGCAAATACGGGATGGTTTTCCTAACATTTGTGTCTTAAAAGGAGTGGGATCTTTCTGAAGTCTTAATAAAAAGAGTGATGGGCATCAGCCTCTAGCCGTGTAAAAGACTGGAAATATGTCTCCTAACACTGGACATTTGGCACCAAGAGATCTGTCGTCTGGCAACAGAGGGCTTGGACTCAGTTGTAGGCACTGGGGGTTCTCTGGACCTTAGGTAGGATTTTTAGCAGAGATGGGGCTAGAGATAGAGACTTGTTCCTTGGTTTCTGGCGCAGAGGTTCTAACATGGGCTTAGTCATCGGTTAATAAAAGAGCTACAGTTTTAAGGCAAGGAGGAAAAATGAGAGGTGAGGGAAGGGCACTAAGATTAGTTAATAATCTATGATGTGCCAAATACTTTTTTTTATTGTTTCATTTACCCTTCATACTAGCCTTGTGAAGCCATTAGGACAAAGATAGCTATTTGTGCTTTATAAATGAAGAAAATGAGGGTCCATAAGATTAGTCACTTTCGAAAAGGCAAAGGCTACACCAGTCCACTGCCTTCTTTAAATTTATTTCCATATTCTAGTCTAAAAATTGCTGTGTCTTTGTTTATTCCCTATTCATTTTTCCTACGATACTATGTGCTACACTAGCAATGAGCAATCTGAAAATCAAATTAAGAACACAATTCTATTTACAATAGTATTGAAAGAAATAGCACATTCAGGAATACATTTCATAAAATAAGCATAATACTTATATACTGAAAACTATAAAATATTTCTGAAGACATCCCATCTTTCAGAGATTGAAATACTTTTTTAAAAAATACATTTTTATTGGTTTCAGAGAGGAAAGGAGAGGGAGAGAGAAACACCAATGATGAGAGAGAATCATTGATCAGCTGCCTCCTGCACACCCCCTAATGGGGATCGAGCCTGAAACCCGGGCATGTGCCCTTGACCAGAATCGAACCCGGGACCCCTCAGTCCGCAGGCCGACGCTCTATCCACTGAGCCAAACCAGCCAGGGCTGAAAGACTTAATATTGAGATGGCAATACACTTCAGGTTGATTTACAGATTCAATGCATTTCCTACCAAAATGCTAATTCCCTTTTCTGCAGAAATTGATAAGTGATCCTTAAATTCATATGCAAGGGATCCCAAATAGCTAACACAATCTTGAAAAAGAAGGACAAAGTTGGAGGATTCACATTTCCCAATTTCAAACCTTATTATAAAGTTACAGTAATCAAGAGGTGTGGCCTGTTATAAAGATAGACATATAGATCAATGAAAAAGAATTGAGAGCTCAGAATAAACCCTCACACAGATGGTCAATTGATTTTTGATAAGAGTTTCAAGAACATGCAATGGGGAAAGAACAGTTTATTCAACAAATGATACTGGGAAAAATGGACATCCACACACAACAGAATGAAGTTGAACTCCTACATTTCACCATATACAAAACTGAACTCAAAATGGGTAAAAAAACTAAATGTAAGGGCTACAACAATAAAACACTTAGAAGGACACAGAGTATAAATTTGTGCGACTTTGGATTAGGCAAGTACAAAATGACATCAAAAGCACAAATAACCAAAGGAAAAAATAGATTGAATTTCATCAAAACCAAAAATTTTTGTGCATCAAAGGACACTATCAAGAAAGTGAAAAGACAACCTAAAGAGTAGGAAAAAAATGTTTAAATTATATGTCTGGTAAGGGTATAATAGCCAGAGTATATAAGTAACTCTTAAAAATTCAACAAAAGGCAAATAATACAATTGAAAAATGGGCAAAGGATCTGAATAGACATTTCTCCAAAGAAGGTATACAGTCTGGCCGGTGTGGTTCAGTGGTTGAGCGTTGACCTATGAACCAAGAGGTCACTGGTTCGATTCCCCATCAGGGTACATGCCAGGATTGCAGGCTGGATCCCCAGTAGGGGGCGTGCAGAAAGTAGCTGATCAATGATTCTCATCATTGATGTTTCTATCTCTCCCTCTCCCTTCCTCTCTCTGAAACCAATAAAAAAAAATTTAAAAAAAGAAGATATACAAATGGCCAATAAGCTCATAAAAAGATGTTCAATATCATTAGGGAAACATAAATAAAAACCACAATAAGAAACCACATTATACCCACTAAGATGGCTATAATAAAACAAATCAATAATAAATGAATGAATGAATGATATAACAGTTGGGAGAATGTAGAGAAACTGTAATCCTTGTACAGTCCTGGTGGGAGTATAAAATGGCATAAACTGATGTGGAAAACAGTTTGGCAGTTCCTCTACAGCTAAACATAGAATTACCATATGACCCAGCAATTGCACTCTTGGTTATATACTCAAGAGACATTAAACGTATGTTCACACTATGACCTGTCCACAAATGTTCATAGCAGCAGGAGCCACAAAATGGACGCAACCCAAATTTCCATCAACTGATGAACAGATAAACGAAATGCAGTATATTCAGACAACAGAATAGTAAGTCATAAAAGCAATATGGATGACCCTTGAAAATATTATGCTAAGTCAAAGGAGCCAGACACAAAAGGCAACATATTATGTGATTCTACTGATATGAAATGTTCAAAATAGTCAAATCCATAAAAACAGAAAGTAGGTTAGTTCTCAAGGACTGGGAAAGGGCAATTGGGATTGACCCCTAATAGGTATGAGTTTTCTTTCTGTGGTGATGGAAATGTCCTGAAATTAGATAATAGAAATGGTTGTATATAATAGTGAATACACTAAAATCCACTGAACTGTACTCTTCAAAATAGTAAATTTTTATGTGCATTATATCTCAATTTTTCAAATGTTTAAAAATACTATGTAGCCCTGGCTTGTATGGCTCCATTGATTGGGCATTGTCCTGTGCACCGAAAGGTTGCCGATTCAATTCCCAGTCAGGGCACATGCCCAGGTTGCAGGCTCAACCCCTGTTCACTCTCACATCACGCTCTAACCAACTGAGCTCCCTGGCCAGGATTCTTCTATTTAACTTGTCATTGTCTGTCACACCTTTCTACAATGTGAGCTCCCTGAGGGCGGGAATTTTTGTTTTGTTCCTTTCTGTATCCCTCAGAATATGAAATGCCTGGCACTTTGTAGGCATTCAATAGATAGTTGAATTTTATGTTATATATATTACCACAATTAAAAACAACAACTAGCTGATGTTATTCTTATTGTGTTGATGCAAACAATCAGGCCAAATCGTAACTAGACTTAATACAGTAAATAAATTGGTCTTAAGTTGGCTCTTTAATAAAAATGAGAGTGATTTTAGGGAGAAAAAAAATTGTGTTTCTAATTGGGAATTAGAAAATAATTGGGAATTATTAGAACTGAAATGTGTTTTTCCTTCCACCAGATCATTTGTGTATTCTTGCTGTTCTAACTTTTATGACACAGTTTGTTTCCAACAGGTTACAAGCCCTATTCGCACTCAGGGAATGCCACCTCTAGACACCATTGTCACCTCCTTCTGTGGCCAGGCTGCATCATCCCTCTGACAGACAGCAAGGATCTCTTGGCTCTGAAGGAAAAACTTCATCCCTCCTCAGCATGAAGCAGTTGCAGAAGAGACTCTGCACCTCTTTTTCTGTGAAAGAATTCAGAGCCAAGATCCTTGAGGGGGGATGTGATAGGCAGTTAGACAGACGTGAGCAGAGCAAGGGAGATGGGCCAACTGAAAGAGAAATGGATGGGACTGAGATGTGCTTCTCACCACTCCGACTGCTCTGAAGCTGGCAATGGAGAAACCTGTGTAGAACTGATCTTTACATTTGCTGAGTAGGAGTTGGGACACCTATTGCTAATTTATAGAATTATTCCATTCATTTTAGGAAATCATATACAGGGATCTTCGTATGTTGGGACCCACTGTCTGGGAAAAGGATGCAGTGATGTTTCCTCTAAAGATTACTGCAGTAGTTCCCTGTGGTAAATGTCTGACTATTACTGAGTGTTCTAGTTGTTATCTTTCAGTAGCTAATAACTATATGAATTGTTCTGATAATTTCACTTTCCCTTATAGTAATGGACATACTAAGCTGCTGGCTGGTTGGTTTCTGATACGTGGGGTAACTATTTATCCCTGCTAACAGCAATGGGGGCCCTGTTCCTTATGATGACCGACTGTCTTTATGCCTCAGAAACATCACAGGGTCTGAACCAAAAGAGGCTTTCTCAAGGCCGTGGCACCGGACGGCAATGACGATCTCCACCTGTGGAGCCCTGTTGACTATATTGCTTTGACCATTTTTGTTATGATGGCAATAGTAGGCTCCCTTAATGTAGAAGTGACCCGGCAGGCTTGTAGCACGGTAAAAGCCCTAAAGCCACCTCCAGGGCTATCCATGGGATAAATCAACAGCTGAGCCAGGTCAGGGAGGCAGTTCTAGAAAATTGGGCAGCAATAGATTACTTGCTGTTGCAGCATAACCATGGTTGTGAAGAATTTAAAGGAATGTGCTGTTTTAATCTTTCTGACAATTCTCAGTTGATAGAAAACATACCCAAGATCCTGCATTTGGTGTATTCCATCTCTGGGAACTGCTTTCAAGGCAGAAGCAGATGCAGTCCAGCAGGATGAGACTTTTCATCTAAAACTAATCTCACAGATATGAGATAATAGAAATAGCAGTGGGGAAATGTTAGGGACAAGAATAGAATTTTGGGGACTAACTATGGTTATGGGAAATATTAATCATGCTCTGTTAACCATGATTGCCTTGTGTTGGTTAAATTCTGACCTGGCTGGGAGTTATATGCCCCTGGGACCTGGGAGTCAACCTTGGACCTGGGAGTCAACCTTGGAATGCAGTCCATTCACATGGAAAGATTAACAATCTTGTTGCCCAAACAATGGAGTCCCACCCCAGCCTCCTACTTCCTCAATGCCTGTAATCCCTACCTCCCCATACCTATAATCCTATTTCCCCGTGTAATCTTTGTAATACCTTATATAAACAGCTGGTTTATGGGGAGCTGCAGAGAAGATTTTTTTGTGGATGACCTGCTGCTTTCCTATACTGCCGGCAGTATTGGAATAAATAATTCAAATATGACTCATATTTGAATCATATATGATTAAAGAAAACAACAACTAGTTGAGAGACATTGCATTTTAGCTCTGTACCATATCTAAGTAGTATCAGGAGCCCCACCTTGCCACCCACACTCATTTTTCTTGCTCCTCAACAGGACCCCTCTAGACTCACAGCTTGCTTTGCTCACACCTGCTTGTTTGCTCAGCTCACTTCCTCCAGTTCACATTCCACATGTCAACCAAAGTCTCCTTTTATTCCAATGAAGCTTTCACTGCCTCTTGGCAGAGTTGGCCCTCCCTCTGTTCAGCTCAAGCTCCTCAACAGGTGCCTGGATATGCATGCTGCAGCAGCGTACCCTGCAACGCAACTCTCTACACTCTTCACAGTGGCGATCCTTAAGAGAGGTGACTGTGTCTAGTTTATTTCTACTGCACGGTCCCTGCATCACAGGAATTGCTCATTATGTGTCTGTTTGGGGTACCTCCTCTTACTCCAAATGCCATCTGGGTATCCGCTCACATACTGAAGGAGGATTGCTTCCTGCTGCATCCACCCTCTTCAACATTTACTGACTCCGACTGAGCACATAGTAGGTCTTACAGAGACAGAGATTCACAGGACCTGAGTAACTCACATTGAAGAAGGGGAAAAGGGGCATATAACCTATAACTGCCATCAAGTGTAGTACAGAGCTAGAATCATGGACAAAGTGCTATGGGAACACAAAGGGAAGGGCAATTAATTTTTGGAAGGGCGGGAGGGAGGCCAGAGATGTGGAGAGAAAAAAATGACAGGTGGAGCTGGCCTTAAAGGATGAGCAGAAGTTCACCAGAGGACAGAGGAAGATGGCATTCCCAGCAGAGGTTTCCGAGAGGAAAATACGTGGCGTGGGTGAAAGAGAAGTGGTCCGGAATGGGCGTGGGAGGGTCCCGTGGCCAGAGAAGCTGCAAAGGGAGGTGAGGCTCTTTGTCCAGGGCTTCAGTGCCATGAGCAGGAATATGGACTTTGTCTAGGAGGCAGCACAGGCTGTCTAGAGCAGTGGTTCTCAACCTTCCTAATGCCGCGACCCTTTAATACAGTTCCTCATGTTGTGGTGACCCCCAACCATAAAATTATTTTCGTTGCTACTTCATAACTGTAATTTTGCTACTGTTATGAATCATAATGTAAATATCTGATATGCAGGATGTATTTTCATTGTTACAAACTGAACACAATTAAAGCATAGAGATTAATCACAAAAACAATATGTAATTATATATGTGTTTTCCGATGGTCTTAGGCGACCCCTGTGAAAGGGGTCGTGACCCACAGGTTGAGAACCGCTGCTCTGGAGGGTTTTTCAACAGAGAATGACAAGAATAGATCTGTTTCAGAGAATGAGTCTCGAAAAAGAATAGAGGATGAACTGGCAGTGGAGTTAGGGAAACCAGAGTCAAGTCAAGGGCCTGTGACCATCATCCGGGGAAGGGTGGGGACAGAGAGGAGGGGACAGAGGTAAGGACTACACTGCAAGCTCCTCAAGGGGGAGCTCAGTTGCTCCCAGCGATGCTCCCACTCCCGCCTGAGGGTCTTGTGTGGCAGCGCTTTGGCCTAAAGGAAGTGCAGGAGCAGCACTGACCCTGGTGTCCTCGTGTGCTCTTCACCACGACCGGGTAGCCCAGGGGCTCAGCTTCATCAATCATTTTTGAAAAGTCTTCATGCCCACCTGCCAAGAAAAGGTGACAGTCAGTGAAGGTAAGGCTGATGGTCGGGGAGCGGTCAGCCCAACGCAGCACCCTCTGGGGGGATTCTTTTCAGGCCGCCTGTCTCTCCAACACGCTTGCACTGTGCACCTATAATATAAGAGGGGAGCAGAGGTATTTATCGAAGCCTTCCATGAGGCAGAGGTTTCCCATGCTCTTGTTTGTGTAATCCTCATCACAATCCCATAGCACTGGCAGGTATTTTTCCCTTTATTTTTATTTATTTATTTATTTTTCCAATATATCTTATTCATTTTTTTTTACAGAGAGGAAGAGAGAGGGATAGAGAGATAGAAACATCGATGAGAGAGAAACATTGATTAGCTGCCTCCTGCACACCCGCTACTGGGGATGTGCCCACAATCAAGGTACATGCTCTTGACCGGAATCGAACCTGGGACCCTTCAGTCCACAGGCCGACGCTCTATCCACTGAGCCAAACCAGCTAGGGCGTATTTTTTCCTTTAAAATGGCTGCCTGAAGTAGACTCTAAGATGGCTCTGAAGATTCCTACCTGCTGGTGTACACGCCTTGTCAATCCCCTCCCTTGAGTGTGGGAGGGCCCAGTGAATATGATGGGGTATCATTCCTGTGATTAGGTCTACTACTTTGAGTTAATCAAGGTGGGATGATTCATGGTGGGCCTGACCTAATCAGGTGAGCCCTTCACAAGAATGTGAAGTGTCAGAGAGATTTTCCTGCTGGCCTTGAAGGAGCAAACTGCCATGGTGTAGAGAAGGCCATGCGGTGGCGACAGTGGGCAATTCTAGGAGCTGAAAACGGCCCTCAGTTGATAGCCAGCAAGAAAGTGGGGACCTCAGTCCCTGCAACTGCAAGGAAATAAATGCCAACAACCAGTGAGTTTGGAAGACTCCAGGCCTCTGGTGAAATCACAGGCCAGCTACCCCTTGATTTCAGCCTGGAAAGACCAGAGCAAAGAACCCAGCTATGCTTGGTTGGACTTCTGACCTTCAGAAACTGTGAGGAAATAAATGGGTGTTATTTTAAGCTGCTAAGTTTTTAGTAGTTTGTTATGTAGCAGTAGAAAATCAATAACCAAAGAAACCAAGCCTGGGGATTTGTCTCATCCAAAGTTAAGGCATGACTGGGAAGCCTAAATTGGCTCTACTATAATCCTTTAATTCTTAATTTAAAAAACATGAATAATGTGGGTATTAAAATCTTTCTAAATTGTGTTTACAAACTTGATTGATTACCTACACATTTACATTTTTTTTTAAAAAAGTATGTTTTTATTGATTTTAGAGAGACAGGAAGGGAGAGGGAGAGCGAGAAACATCGATGTGAGAGAAAACATTGATTGGCTGCCTCCTGCATGCTCCCTACTGGGGATCCAGCCCACAACCTGGACATGGCATGAGGCTCAATCAACTGAGCCATACCGGCCAGGGCCACATCCGCATCTTTTTGGGATCACTATTCTGCCTACCACAGGTGGTATTGCAGTTCAGCAATTTTTGCAAATTGGAATACTAATACCTGTTTTGTTCACAAAAGTGCTAATAATTGTTTTAAATGAAGAGGCATTGTAGATAACTAGGGATGTCTTCAGAAGAGGATGTTTTATAAGAAGGTAACTCCCAACTTCCTGACACCTGCTGATAAATTCAACTCCTCTCTAGCTATCCTCTTTCCTCCCTTCTAACACAGTGAAAGAGGGATCCCTTCTCTCAGGCCATCCCTAAACCTGTGCTTTTTAAAAATATTTTTTATAATTTTATTGATTTCAGAGAGGAAGGGAGAGGGAGAGATAGATAGAAACATCAATGATGAGAGAGAATCATTGATTGGCTGCCTCCTGCATGCCCCCTAATGGGGATCGAGCCCAGAACCCAGGCATGTGCCCTGACTGGGAATCGAACCATGACCTCCTGTTTCATAGGTTGATGCTCAACCATTGAGCAATGCCAGCTGGGCTGCACCTGTACTTTGGACCCCTTTCCCTCTCACCTTCTCAGGATCTTGCACAATGAAGTGTCTCCTCTCTACTGTATCTTCAACCTCCCAGTTCTTAATCCCATCACCATTTTAAACATGCTCAGTTCTCTCCCATCCTAAACAAATAAAACCTCTGTTCCTTGACCCTGCCTCATTCCTTACCTGCGACTTCATATCCCTACAATTAAGCTATTTGAGAGGGTTTCCATTTCCTCACTTCCCATTCATTTCCTCATCCTTGACAATTTGGCTTCTCTCCCCATCATTAAACTGAAGCTGTATTCATTAAACTCCCTGTTGCTAAATCCAACACACATCTCAGTGCTTACCTTACTTGTCCTTTCAGACCGATCAATCAACACTTTTCATTATGCCAGCCTTCCTGGTCTGCTCTTCCCACTGGCTTCTGTCATCTCTCTTTCTCGTCTCACCTTTCCAGCTTCTCCTGCTTAGTCTCTCGTACAGGTTCCTCTTCCTTTACCCATCCCCTAAAGGAGTCCCTCTTGAACCTTCTTTTATTACATTTGTGTGGGGGTTTTTTATTGTGGTAAAATATACATAAAATAAAAGTTATCTTTTTAACCATTTTAGGTGTACAGTTCAGCTCTCTTCGTTCTACAAAGTCCGCCTGAGTAATCCCATCCAATCTTGTGACTTCACTTAATATAATAAAGGCTTCCAATTCCACATCCCCAGTC